GTGAGACTCTCAAAAAAAGTAATTGTAACCATAAGCCAAAATGTGTGTTTGAAAGAATGAGGATGTACCTTCACAATAAAAACAAAATAAGCATCAAAGTGAAATGTCAGAGGTATCAACCATCAAACTTAGTACTTAAGGAAATCGGACTTAAAAGAGTCTCACTTACGTTGCCCTTGGTAGAGTGCTGTGGCGTCACAGCTCACAGCAACCTCCAACTCTTGGGCTTAAGCAATTCTCTTGCTTTAGCCTTCCAAGTAGCTAGGACTATAGGTGCCCACCACAACGCCAGGCTATTTTTTGTTGCAGTTGTCATTGTTGTTCTGCTGGCCTGGGCCGTGTTCGAATCTGCCACCCTCAGTGTATGTGGCTGGTGCTGTACTACAGGCGCTGAGCCATGGAAATTGGACATTTCCTACTTAATATCCTATTGTCTCTGCTTAAGAGATGCATTACTGTCTAAAGTTCCCAAATGTGTAGTTTAGAGACCAAATACTATGAGAGAAACTCTCAGTTCCAGTTTCAGATTCCAGGGTACCCCTACTTCCATGTCAACTCTAGAATGACCTCACTTTTTACTAAGGAGTCCTGTGTGTGGAAATGGGTACTTTCTGAGCAAGTAATAGCTGCAGATATTCTAATCCTCCTTCTCAGTAAGAGATGACTCCTAGCCAGGTCCATCTATAGTATTAGTCATGGGTGCTCCACCAGTAGCTGAAGGTCTTTGGGTGATAAGCTATGCTTTCCCTGGTATACGTAGTCCAGATACATATTTCCATAATCCTGTAGTCTTTGGGCCAAATGATACATTTTGCCTTCCCCTGCCCCTCACCATATAGTCTTAGTATAAAATAGTGAGAAGAAAACCACAAAAAGAAAAGAAAAATACTTTATTTTGGTTACTAGTTTTCCATTTAACAAATATTTATTGTATACCTTCTACATGTGAGTCACTGTTCTCAGCCCTGAGGATATGAGGAGAAAGAGAACAGAGCATATATACCCTCTTCTGCAGGGCAGAGCTAGTCAGATACAGTCAGCAAATCTCATGGTCACCCATTAAATCTCATGGTCATCCTTTTGCCTCAGTTTTTTCTATTTTTAGTAGAGATGGGGTCTTGTTTTTTGCTCTGGCTGATCTCAAACTCATGAGCTCAAGTAATCCACCCACTTTGGCCTCCCAGAGTGCCAGGATTACAGGTGTGAGCCACCATGCCCAACCTTGGTATTTCATTTCTTTAGGACAGAATCTCATTCTTTTACCCATACTAGAGTACAGTGCCACAATCATAGTTCACTGTAACCTTTAACTTTTGGGCTTGAGCAGACCTCCTACCTCAGCATTGCATGTAGCTGGGACTATTAGGCAGGTACCACCACACCCAGCTAATTTTTTTTATTTTTGTAGAAGCAGGTTTCACTATGTTTCCCAGGCTGGTCTTGATCTCCTGGTCTCCTCCCAAAGTGCCAGGATTACAGACAAGAACTGTTGTACCCAGCCATGTAGGACTGTACTTGAGAGGAAGCATAGGGAATGCAGGGGCAATGAGGGATGGTTTCTTTGTGGAGGCCATGGTGCTTTAGCTGTCCCATTCCATTATAGTGCTACTTTTTGGACCTGGTATTTGACTAGGCATAGAATAATTATAGGCTCCTAATGATAGAACTCCCTTAAAACGTTAGCTTATTGCTTGTCTCTTTCATGTGGGGGCTTTCTCTTTTGTAAATAACCAATATTATAATTGGACTTGTCTGATTCTCTGTGTACCCTTGAAGCTTTGTACCTACCTCTACCTGATAAGTTAGAGCACCTTTGGGCTAGAGTCCACTTTGTACTTTATACTTGGAAAATGAATTTGCTTTGTCATCCTCCACTCCAGCTTCCTGTCAGATTTCCAGTCACTGCTTTCAGTTTCAGTTTGGGTTTTAAAAATGTTTTCTTTCTTTTTTTTTTTTTTTTTTTTTTTTTTTTTTTTGAGACAGAGCCTCAAGCTGTCCCCCTGGGTAGAGTGCCCTGGCTTTACAGCTCACAGCAACCTCCAACTCCTGGGCTCAAGCGAGTCTCCTGCCTCCGCCTCCCAAGTAGCTGGGACCACAGGCGCCCGCCACAACGCCCGGCTATTTTTTGGTTGCAGCCGTCATTGTTGTTTTGGCGGGTCCGGGCTGGGGATTCGAACCCGCCACCTTAGGTGTACATGGCTGGCGCCTTAGCCGGTTGAGCTATAGGCGCCGAGCCAAAAATGTTTTCTTAATCTGAATTACCAGTGTAATGTAGGTGCAAATAAGCAGTTTTTGTTGGCTTTGACTGGGATGAGTTGGAAACATGTGAAAGGAGATTGGAGGAAGGAGAATGAACCTGCTGAAAGTAGGGTAGCTTGACTTTTCCACTTGTTAAATATTCCTACTGCAGTGGTCTTGAAATCTGTCCGATGACAGAGCCAAGGGTTGAAATATGACACAGGCTGGGGATGAGATTTGGCAGTCATCCCGAGTGCACAAATAGTTTCTTCCCTCCCAAGCATATTTTACAGCCAAGTGAACAGAAAACAATTCAGTAGGCTACTTGCTAGAGACCTATGTCAAAAAAATTATCTTAACAAAACGGTGCTTATACAGCTTTTACAAAATGTTCCCAAAAGAACAAATTGCACACTAGGCTTATTTTTCTCTTATCCTTTTCCCCTAAGTGTAAGGCTGATTCCAGACATACTTCTAAGCCTGTTTGTGAATGGTAGGGGCTGAACTTCCAAGTTTAACCAGTCGCGTATCCTTTACTTTGGATTGCTGTCAGCTAGATGGGAAACTGCTGAGAAGACTAAAGTCCAAGCCTTTGTGTGGAATAGTCAAGCAAACAGGTGCAGGTTGGCCCCTTGCCCAGCTCTGCTTCATGTAAATTTTATTAAGCACACACACGATAGGAAGGCAGTTGGTGTTGTTGTAATTCTGCTCACTGCTAATATGACAGGACACCATTGCAGGAAGCTTGACCTAAGGTAGCTGCTCTAAATATAGTCTTCCTTTCTGGCAACTGCAAACACCTGGAGGAGCAGGCAGGCCCCTAGCAGAAAAGAATTTGCTGTTAATAGCAAGCATGTCTCTTGAATAGTTGTGTACTGTCAGAGCTTGTTTCGTGGTATGTTTATGCATAATTAAAAACAGCCCACTGGATTTATTGGCTTATAGTTAGGTTATGTTTAGAAACATGCAGTTTGGGTTGTTGTCTACTGTAGAAACTGGGAATGATGTCATTGGTTTGCACAAGACTGGAAGAGGAGCATTTAATATAATTTCCAGCATTTTCTTTGATCCATGTAATGAACATAGGTTACTTAAACTCCTTGGCCTTTGATTACTGGCACTGATGAACTAAGCTATCACATGATTCTGTTCAATTGGGAGCTCTGGTTTATGTGCTTGGAAGTTTATTCTGACGAAAGGGAGTTTAGTAGTAATGAAAAGAACACCAGTATTTTATAAAATCATGCTTCCAGGCGTGGCGCCTGTGGCTCAAGTGGCTAAAGTACCAGCCACATACACCTGAGCTGGCAGGTTCAAATCCAGTCTGGGCCTGCCAAACAACAATGATGCCTGCAATCAAAAAGTAGCTGGGTGTTGTGGCAGGCACCTATAGTCCCAGCTACTTGGGAGGTGGAGGCAGAAGAATCCCTTGAGCCCAGGAGTTAGAAGTTGTTGTGAGCTGTGATGCCATGGCACTGTACCCAGGGCAACAGCTTGAGGCTCTGTCTCAAAATAAATAAATAAATAAATAAATAAATAAATAAATAAATTGTGCTTCCAAAAAAGAAACTACAAATTGCTCTTAAATGTGTAAAACGATAGTCAACCTATCTTATATGAGTATTAAGAGAAAAACATTTTAAGACCTCACTAATACAAATATTTTTGCCTATTAAATTGTCAGACATTCAAAGTTTTGGAGAAACAGTGTTGATGAGCAAGTGGAGAAATAGGCATTCCTCTTAAATTCTTGGTGAGGGTATTTTATTGAGGAAAGTTTGGTATATCTATTAAAACCACAAATATATACTCTTTGACCCTGCAGTATCACTCTCAGGAATTTATCACATGGACACATTTGCATGTATACAAAATGATGTGTGCTTAAGCTTATTTAGGGAAGAATTAATGATTGGAGTCAAAGTCAGAAAGTGAGAAGTTAAATAAATAATGATACATCTATTATAGTGGATGCAGCTATAAAAATCAATGTAGATATTATTTATATACTGACAGAAATGTCTTCAAGATGACAGTGCAGTCTATATTATGGTACAATTGTAAAAAAAAAAGGAGAAATAATATATATCATGTTTGTTTTATATATGCTTTAAAAAGTTCTGGAAGGAAATTTGAGAAAGTAGTATGAGTAGTTACCTGTGTGTGTTGAGGGAAGAAGAGATAAGATGGCTGTTTTTCTTTGTATGAAACTTGATGAACCATGTGCATGTGTTACTTTTCTTTTGCAGTTTTTTTGGCCGGGGCTGGGTTTGAACCTGCCACTTCAGGTACATGGGGCTGGTGCCTTACTCCTTGAGCCACAGGCAATGCCTTGCATATGTTACTTTAAAAAAAAAAAAGTTAGAATATTTTTAAAAGTGGAGTTTCTTTCCGTTCCACAGTCACAGTTGCAGGGGAGTTCTCTTTTAATAGCTATTGCTTTTTTACCCATTCTTGCTATCTTGTAGATAATAAATATTATCTACATATTGTTGATTATTATTATCCCATATTGTTGCTAATACTACTATTGTTTGTTACTTTCTGTGCGAGTACCTTGAGAAGAAAGTGATATACAAGTTTGTTTGTCCTGTGTTTTTCTATAATTTCTCAGCCAGAATCAGTGGCTTTAAAAACTTACATACCAGAAGCGTCAGGTTGGGACAAACCCTAAAAAATAGGTTTTTCCTTTTTTGTTTGAGAATTAGGATAATGTCTTCTGGATAGGACTGAAGTCTTTTGTTTTTTCTCTTTATTTGTAGGAACCTGCAAGCAGCAATTGGCGCCTATTATGACTTTGAGAGCCCAAACATCAGTGTACCCTCTATGTCCTTTGTTGAAGATGTCACCATAGGAGAGGGGGAGTCAATACCTCCTGATACTCAGTTCATAAAAACATGGCGAATCCAGAATTCTGGTAAGTGTCTAATATAATCGGCAATGCTCTGTTGTCCAGTTTTCTTTTTCTTAGTTAAAAGAAATAAGAAGGAAATATTTTAGCTTATGTATATGATTGTGTAATTCTGAGCTTTTCTTTACATGTAGTATTTTCTTGTATAGATAACTAAACATTAGTAAAGTATCCCTTGCTTTAGAATAGAAAGAAGAGTTTAGGTCTGATGGTTCTAAGTCATCTATGACTTAGTGGCAACTAAACACACTCTAATATTCATTTGGTACTAGGAACTGGGGTATGTGCTGGGATATTATGTCCACCTGTGCAGTTTTACTTCATCATTTTATTTCTGCTCTAATTAATCTTCCAATCATTTCCAACAGGCTAGAGGAGGTATATCCTTGAATAGAACAGGGCATTTGGAAAAGAGCTATGAACATCTGCTCTTTTGAAAGCTCATTTCTTTGTAGCCACAAGGATGACTCTCTGAAATTTTATTAAGATATTTGACACATTAAAATAGAGTAAGAAGTGTGGGAATTTGCTCAAAAGGGGGAATAAATTGTTTTAAAAATATAAAAAAACATTATTTTGATATATTACTGCTATTTTTAAGACAAATTAGAAATAAATTGACCATAGTTCTTTGAAAATACTGTCTGAATATATGTCTGGGAATTGTTATTATTACTTTTAAATTCTTTTTCTGATGACTTTTTTTTTTTTTTTTGAGTGGATTTAGTATTTCTTGTCCCATCCAATGACAGTTTATGTTGACTGGTGGAGGGTGTTTTAACTGCCTTCTTAATGAGCATTTGCAGAGAAATTCTGATAGAAAACTAGGCCAAAAAGAGTATTTAGCTAAAAATCTATATGTGTGGGGGTACCTTATCTACTAAGGTAATTTGATGTGAGATGATATAAAATTCTTGGGACTCAAACCTATAAAAGTGACTTCTCATTTACTCAATTTGCTTCTTAATTCTTTGTGGTTTATTACTTTATGGTGGGGAAAGACTGGCTAAACTAGCCTTTTATGTAAGAATTAATGTACCAAATTAATTGTTATTCTTAGTTTTTCTGGCAGATATTTACAATAACTCCCCCTTGGAAGAAAGTTCAGTGGTGTAGCTGACTCAGGACACCTATGACTTTGTAAAATTATCATTATCTCACCTTTCTCGTTTGGTTACAGCAGTGGTACAAATGTTTGGGAGGCACATGGTAACAAGAAAATAGCCATGTTTTCTGTTTTTCTTGAAATTCTTACTAGTTCTGATATTGTTTACTTTGACTAATTTCTTTCTCACCTTTGTTTATTTATTTAAGAACAAACCCAGTACCTTGTTTCCTTATAGTGAAAACACTGAAAATGGTCTGGTTTTTTTTTTTTTTTTTTTGAGACAGTCTCAAGCTGTCGCCCTGGGTAGAGTGCTGTGGTGTCACAGCTCATAGCAACCTCAAACTCTTGGGCTTAAGTGATTCTCTTGCCTCAGCCTCCCAAGTAGCTGGGACTACAGGCGCCTGTCACAATGCCCTGGCTATTTCCATGAGTTCTTTATAGAGATTTTAAATATGCAGAATTTTTGAGTATTGTTGAAGTATTTTAAATACCATCTTGTTGGAGAATAACCATTTTATATTTCAAAACACCTCTTGATAAATCTACTCACTCTCTAGATAGTTCGTTGGGTTAGTGGGGAGCTTGGGGGAGGTTGATATATAATGGTTAGTATGTTGAATCAGAACCTTTAAGAGACCTACCTTTCACCTTAACTTAGAAAAATCTCTAATGGTGGGCCTGACTGCTTTTTCCTTCTGTGTGTGCTTTGTAACTTTATGTTTAAGACAACTTCTGAGTCTACAGCCATTCTTGCTACAAAAGGGCATTCTGGTGCTTGAACACCTCATGAAAAGTTGGGCCAGCAGTTGTTAGACATTTTTATGCTTCCAGGTGCTTTGCACATGTAGGTTTTCTATTCTTCTGGAAATTGTTCAACCAGTTGTAAAGTAGCTTTATAGCTATAAATTGAAAGTTTTCCATTTGGTTAAGGAGAATTTTGCCACCCATAACTGAGTAATAGACATGTTATTAATATTAGAGAGAGAGGGAGAACATGCATGTGTGCAGGTTCTTTGTTATCATCCTAATCTGTCTTGAATCCTTTCTGGAAAGTAGGGCAGGCCTTAGCTATTTCTCCTCTGGCTCTCTTACTCTCATCCACAACCTACCTTAAGAGACAAGTACTCACTGAAAAAGGTACATAGTAGTTTTCATGGCACTTTCTACTGTCATGTTTTATGGGTGCCAGGCATTCAAATATACAGCAGATGAGATTGATAAGGACTGCATATATTGTCCCAGCAGCTTCCCTAAAGAAGGTAAATGTTATATACTGTTTAAAATTAAACCCCTAATATTTTTTAAATCCTTAGATTCGGACAGAGAAACACAGAACTGAGTCATTTAATAGCATAGATGCAAAATTCTAGGATCTAAACTTTTGACATCATAGAAGTATTGGAAGCTTCAGAAACCTGAGCAGGAAACCTTGGAGGTTAAAGTGAAAATTTGAAACTGTCGTTCCAAAGATGTAAGTAGACAGATTCTTTTGACCAACACTTACAGCTTTTCAGTTGTTAGAATACTATGCTCTATTGTTCAGCTGTAGCAGCTGTTAAGCTGAGCATGTTATGATAACTCTAGAGTTTCTCTCATTTGGTAAAGTAGTTGTTATTGTCGTATAAGACATTGGCTTGGGCATTTTGATCCAGAGACATTTTTATTTTTTGACCTACATAGAAGTGAATAGAAAGTGTTAGGAAAAGAACTTGAGGAAGAACAACTATTTGTACCATTTTTTCTTTTAGCTCTTTAAAATAGTTAACTTTCTCCATTTCTCTTTAGTGTGATTATAGAGAAGATAATTCTGCTTCATTTATTCAACATATTTTATTATGGTGACAAGATTGATGAAGGTCTCTGTTTTCACAGAGCTTAATTTGAAATGCGGTCTTCACACTCAGGGATTAAAATGGTGATCTTCATCGAAGTTTGCCTTCTGGACTGCTATTTGAATAGTCCTTACTGTCTCCAAACTATTTTTCTAATCACATATAGCTAGTATGTCCTAGGCTTTCTGGGACTGTTGGACTTCTGATTTTTGTGATGCGCTTTACCATCTCTAAATTGCCACCAAGACACAAGTGGATTGCTTGAGCTCAGCAAGAATGAGACCCCATCTCTACTAAAAATAAAAAAAAAACAGCTGGGCCTTGCAGCAGGTGCCTTATAGTCCTAGCTGCTTGAGAGACTGAGACAAGAGGATTGCTTGAGCCCAGAAGTTTGAGGTTGCTCTGAGCAGTGATGCCACAGCACTCTACCTAGGGCAAAAGAGGGACATTCTGTCTCAAAAAAAAAAAAAATAAGAAAAGAAAAGAAAAAAAGGTCACATTTCTTTCTTCCCGATAGATCTATCCCCTGTTGAGCCAGTTTGTAACTAAGACTTAATTTGAAGTCCTATTGTATTACGCTTCTTTTTTTTTTTTTTTTTTTTTCCTTTTCTCTTTTTGAGACAGAGCCTCAAGCTGTCCCCCTGGGCAGAGCGCCGTGGCATTACAGCTCACAGCAACCTCCAACTCTGGGCTCAAGCGAGTCCCCTGCCTCCGCCCCCCAAGCAGCCGGGACCACAGGCGCCCGCCACAACGCCCGGCCATTTTTTTTTGGTTGCAGCTATCATTGTTGTCCGGCGGGTCCGGGCTGGGGACTTGAACCCGCCACCCTAGGTGTACGTGGCTGGCGCCCCAGCCGGTTGAGCTATAGGCGCCGAGCCGTATTACACTTCTTGAATCCAGATTTCATGTATGCTTAGTCAAGTGGTCCAAATAGCTCACTGGTATTTTCCTTCTTTTTTTATTGAACATCAGTATGTTTGACCTTTTTAGAGTTACCTGACTTCTAACCCACAGTTGAGACTGTAAGACCTATTTATATAATTAACTCTCAGAAGGCAGATGATTGGTTCTTCATCTGTTAAAGCAGATTAATACTTTAGAGTTCATGGTGGATAATTCAGTTATCCACTTTTTTCTTGAGGAAGCTCTCTAAATACCATTTTGAGCAATAGTAGGTACCAAGAAGAGCAAGACCCTAGCCAAATCATTTAATGTAGCCATTTGATGTTTTACCAATTCAGTTTCTCTGGACTATAGCAGCTAAGAGACCCAACTGTCTCGTCTGCTTATAGTTGTCTGCCTGGGCAGCTAAATCCTTTTCACAGCCAGCCTTGGTTTACCTTATTTTTCTTTCACAAGTTCAAAAACAAACTGTTCATATAAACAGATAATATCTTGTTACAGATTTGTGTATATATGTCTTAAAGAATGATTGTGAATTCAGCCCTATAACAGCAGTTTAATTTTTCTGTTGGATATTGATCTTTAAAGAGACTGACAGTTTCTAAGGTGCTTCACGTTGGCTACTATTATCTTTCTTTCCTTTTTTTAAAATTCCTGGCTTCACAACTACCAAGGATTAGCTATAGTTTTCTTGACCTAAGATAAATATGCTTTTGTCAGGTCTCAGAAATGTAAAGAGAATTTGCAAGTATTGCCAATATGTCATCCACAACCTCTCCACCAGCCATGGTTACCCTTTACAGGGTTAACTAAAGAGGGCACTTTGCCTGGCAGGTTTTTTAAAAAAGAGGATATGCCAAAACATAGTGGCTACTATTTCAAGGTACTCTCCCTAAAGACCCAAGGGTCAGAGACCATCATTCTTAATAGAGCTGAGATTTCAGCAGTAGAACTCGGGTGGCTTTTCTCTCCCTCATTCCTTTCTAGTACTGAGCCATCAGGGATGTCAGCAGTAGTCTGGCATTTTGAGAGGAAGGAAATGAAGCATCCTAGAGTACTAGTAGGAAGTAAATTATAATCAGCCTCTGTCCTAAGAGTCCGGCCGCGTTCAGCTTGTCAGAGTGATTAATTTTTATAATGAATGTATTTATTCCAAAAGAAAATTTATAGAGGTTTCTGTCTGCAGTTAGAAAGAAATATAGACATTTGACAGGAGAGATCATATCTAGTCTTTGTATGGCTGCCTATACAGCTTGACTAGTCAGAACTAGTCAACAAGTTTCTTATTTTGAATTGCTTTACATGAAAATAGGTACGCAGGAGGAGGTACTAAATAAGACCATTGACACTTTCTACCACAACCATTCTTTGTATTGCCATTCCCATCCTTTCCTTAAGTCCCTCTGACTGGTGACATTGCTTGTGGGACCACAGTTTATTGACGTTATTGAGGGATATCATCCCATTATTCATATTATCACTGCCACTGTTTGAACCTAAGATCTAAACTGACTTGACTCCTCCGTTTTGTATTTGGCACATAATCTCTTGAGCTCTTGAGTATTTTATAGTTACAGACCACAGGAAAAAAGTTATACATCAGGCAAAAAACAATTTGAAAATGAGATTATTAAGATCATAAACAGTTTATTTGTTTAATCCTGTTGTCTGTATGGAAAATCTGGCAAAAAGCAGACATATTTTTACTTTGAATGTCAGCTTAAAGAATTCAAGTGAAAATGGATATATGTTTCCTTTTGGTAGAGGAAAACAGTCGCCCAAAGATGTGGGCCTGTGCTTCATCTCCATGGCTTTTCTTGGATATCATTCTTAGGTTCTGCAGATTCACTGTGATGTGTGGCCTTCCCTGAGGGTTACCTGAGGTAGTTGTCTTCTTGAGGAACTGCCTTGCTTTTGCTGTTTGTGCATTCTCATAGCATTTAGACTATTGGTTAGAGAATGTTGATTCTGATAATTCCTTCTGATCAGTAGTGTGAGACATTGTGTCACTTAAGGATATATGGGCAGGTTTACATCTTTATATGAGACAAAGAGGCCTGTTCTATAGTTTCTTAATAAACTGCACCTGACGTAGGACCACTGATTGCCTAACATTTTTTTCTTTTGCTTGAACTCAGGGGCAGAGGCCTGGCCTCCAGGGGTTTGTCTTAAATATGTCGGGGGAGACCAGTTTGGACATGTGAACATGGTGATGGTGAGATCGCTAGAGCCCCAGGAGATTGCAGATGTCAGCGTCCAGATGTGCAGCCCCAGCAGAGCAGGAATGTATCAGGGACAGTGGCGGATGTGCACTGCTACAGGACTCTACTATGGAGGTGAGTATGTCCTTGTGCAGCCCAGGGTGAGGGAATTAAGGTAACATCATACCAGTGTCTCTGACAGAGACTGTTGAATTGCATAATAGGGCATGGCCTCTCTTAGTCATCTCATGCAGGTAAATTATTTTAATTTAATGACTAATTGATTCAGCCTAGTGCTCTACCTTTTATCCTAGGAATTTAAGTAAAATTTAGTGACTGTATGAGGTTATTATACTTTGCATTCTAAATTATAATTTAATAGTGCTGCTGGTTTTTGTTTTTTTTTTTTTGAGACTTACTATGTCACCCTCGGTAGGGTACTGTGGCATCACAGCTCACAGCAGTGTCAAACTCTTGGGCTTAAGCAATTCTCTTGGCTTAGCCTCCCAAGTAGCTGGGACTACAGGTGCCCACCACAACACAGTTGTCATTGTTGTTTAGCTGGCCCAGGCCAGGTTTGAACCTACCAGCCTTGGTACATGTGGCTGGTGCTGTAACCAGTGTGCTATGGGCACTGAGCCTACTGTTCTTATTGTATAATCTGGTAGGTGCTGTAAAATACTGAAGGCAGTATATACTTGAAGTTGCTAGACACAAGTCACATAAAACAGATATATGCACAAAATGTTCATACTCCTTTTAAACTAAATACATCTTACTCCTTCCCTTTATTGCCAAACTTACTGAACTGTGATCTTTACCCACTGTCTCTTCTTCCACATCTTCCATTGATTCTTCAATTCAGTCTATCCTTTCCCCGATCTCCACACCAGTGAGTTTATCAGTGACAATTCAGTTTCTAAATCCAGTACCTTCTTTATAGTCTTCATACTAGCCAACCTTCTAATGATCATTTGGCACCATACTACAAATGTTTTTTGAAATGTGTACATTTTTAGATTCATATGACACTTCTCCTATTTCTCTTTATCGAATGTTCTTTT